ATTAGTCTTTTTGCAAAAAAAAAAAAAAAAAGCTTCATTTCTATTTTCTTTACATTAAGATTATGTCCTCCTCTAAGGGGGTTAGCATTCTTAGAAGGCACATTTGAAGCGGCATAAGAAGAATCTTTAATAGCCTTACCAGAGAAAGAAGATGCAACCTTTTTACCCTTTGTAGCATGAACCAAATTCACTTCTTCAGACTTCTCATTTTTCTGTCTTTCCTCCTCTTGAGCACAGATAGATATCAGATCATTAATGTCCCATTTCTACTTTTGAGTATTGTAGAAGACCTTAAGTTGTCCAAACTTGGCAGGTAAAGAATTCAGTGCCATATGAACTAAAAATTGATCAGATATTGGTACCTCTCTTTGAGTTTTCCAGCAGTGTCCGCCATCTTCAGAATGTGCTCTCTAACACCGGTAGTGCCATCGAACTTCATGGTGGTGAGTGAGGTCAGGAAGTTTCCAGTTTTATCCTTCTCTGATTCTTTGAATTTTTCGCCAATGGCTTCAAGAAAGTCCTTGGCCTTGTTACATGTTGGAATTCCTCCCCTTACAGTCTCAGTCATCGCCTTTTTCATGATTAAAAGACCCATCCTGTTGGACTTCTCCCATTTTTCAAACTTGGCCTTTTGCTCAGCAGTGCTTTCCACGGTAAGAGCTGCAGGCTCTTCCTCCCTAATTGCCAGATCATAATCCATGAGACCTAAGAGGATCTCAATGTCCTGTTTCCATTTCTTGTAATTACTTCCATTCAAAGTCTCTATGCTAGAGAAGTTCATGGAAGTAGTGTTTACAACTGCGGAAAAACAAAAGTTTGTGATTAATAGGTTCAAGAATTTCTAACAACAATAATGTTAAACCAGAAAACTATTAATAACATGTTTAGCTGGTTTAAAAACAAAAGCTTATATCATTAGTAACACCTTTGGGCAGAGACTGAGGATATAATCAAAAGTTGCATAACCAAAACAGAGAACACTTAAACATATATAAAATTCAACACCTTTGTGGTAGATGAAAAATATACAATCTAAATATTTCATGCTTCATTATACACTGATTCATAGTTGGGCTAGACAAATAATTCCTTTGTGGAAAAATGAATCTATCGAATAACATACAAACCACAAGTTGAATTTCTTAGCAATCTAATAAGAAAACAAATAAATAATCCACTTTAGTAGAAAATCTCATTGTGTCTTAAAAGATTAAATCCAAGTCCAGGTTGTTGTCCTAAGAGACAAAATTCATCATAAGAAAAATCGATGAATTGCATAATTGTTGATTCAAACAAAATAATCAACATGTTTCTTGTATTTAATAGAATAAAACCGTACAAAATCCCTAATTTTATAATTTCTTCAATTAAATGATATGAACTTGTTACTTCAAATTATTCCAGAAAAAAAAAATTTCATCCCAGCATCATCAATAAACCAAGAAAAATTAAAATTAATTGAATTTGGGGAACAAAAGAAGTATATATACAAGCAATTGAGACGTCGTAGCATACCTTATCTGATTTATTTATGAGAAATTGCGATAAGAAATCCATAGTATAAACATGATCATGATGCGGAAGCAAGAAAAACAGAAAGCCCAGGACGGGGAACGAAAAAATTAAGAAGGAAGAAGACAGATTTCTACCTTCCATAGCATAAGGTTTTCGAATAGGCTGAATAGCTTAGGATAAGAACCAAAGCATCAAGTCTTTAAAGCAAAAAGCAAGCCGTTATATATATATATATATATATATATATATATATATATTAAGGTTCTAAAAAACGCTAGTCGGGCGGCCAGCTAACGCCTAGCTCCTAGGCACCTAGGCGGTCAAGGCGGATTTAAGTATATGTGTAAAATTTTAGAACTTTTTATGTTAATTTTGTAACATTTAGTCATCCCATTTATTTTAATCATTTGTTGGGCCTTTGTTTTTCATTAAAAATGAACTGGGCCTTTGTTTTTCATTAAAAACAAATTCGGCCATGTTTTAAAGGAATGCCATTCCTAGCCAAAAAAACCCTAACTCTAATTATCTAAAGCACAGCCACCCCATTTCTCTACAGATACCTCTACCTCTCTCTCTCTCTCTCCACCAAGCCAAGTCGTCCATCTTCTTTCTTCTTTACCAAACCCTAACTCTAATTACCTAAGCAGCCGCCCAATTTCTCTGCAATTGCATATACCTCCATCCCTCCCTCCCTCCCTCTCTCCCCAGCCAAGCCGTCCCTATCGAAACCTGTCTTGTCCATCTTCTTTCTTTCTTTGCAATTGTAGATCGAAACCCGTCCTGTCCCTCTTCTTTCTTTCTCTGCAATTACAGATCGAAACCCGTTGGGATGGTCGCCCAATCGTCCAACCTCATTACCATAGCAGAAGAACGACGTTATAATCGACTTACCATCAAAGCCGCCTAGCAGTCGCCGATGCTGCCTAGCCCCTTCCAGCGTTGCCTAATACCCTTTCCGATTTCTTCGACGATTTTGGTTTAATTGCAGCGGCGAACCACCGCCCACCGCCTAGGCCACGTTTTAGAACACTGATATATATATATATATATATATATGTCAAACAAATCACAAACATGGTAGCTTTTGTACTTTTTAATAATTCCTTTTCAATCTATACTCTCTTACAGTAGTATTGACAAAAAGTGAACTCTAAGTGTGTTGATGCTCTGATACCACATGCAAGAATAGCTTACATAGATAATTATCAACTAACACATAGAATCATAATTAACCAGAGTCACTAACACACAAAAATTAGACACACTTGAGGATGAAGAAGACATGATGCTCGAAATAAAGATAGTCTTCTACTCTCACAAAACTGGATGCTTATGCTTTCAATAGGAGGTCAGCACACTACTAAGCTTATATTTGGAGAGCAGGGACCAACCTTTTTATAGTCACATAAAGCCTATTGATTCCACCTATTAGGAAAACAATAGGTCTCTCAATAACTCATCATTAACTGCAATAAATCCCTTACATTATTATTTTGAATGTTTCATATAACCTACCATTTACAAAACTCTATTAACTTAATCAATACACTTCTATCAACATAATGATTATGTCTACTCAAATTCTTACAGACCAAACTTTTAAATCAAATTTGTAAACCATACGATATGTATGTGTGAGTATAACAATTTTAGACGTATGTTTGTGTACATTTCTTTTGTTCTAAATTATGTGAAAATGTGCAGGAACCGAGAGATTGAAAATAAGGACATAGTGTTATGGTACACCGTGGGGTTTCATCATGTTCCTTGCCAAGAAGATTTTCCAATTATGCCAACATTAAGCGGTGGATTTGAGCTTCGGCCTACAAATTTCTTTGAGAGCAATCCTGTGCTTAAAACGAAACCTCCAAGTTCTAAGCATGTTAACTCCACAATACAACCCTAATTTCAGTAGTTTTCTTTTTCTTTTTCCCCTACTGAGACTTTTGTAATATGTCAGTACCCAATAAAGATGTTAAATTTACTGTAATTTACCCTTTTTTTAATTATTTTGTGTAACTAAAAGAAATCTTTATTTTATATACCATCAAGTGGATTCATGATCTTTTGTTTGGATAGCTTCTAGGAAGTCAAATACTTCAAGGACAATACATTCAAAGCATCCAACTATAGAGAATGGTAAGAAGAGATGGTATCACTAGCATGCAACTTATAGAGAACTGGTTGATCAGACCCTATATAATTGACATCTAATTTCGTACCCTAGAGATGCCATAAAAAAGTAAGAGTCTTCAATATTGTAGAAACTTCTATAATAGAAACTTCTATAATAGAGAAACTTCTATAATAGAGATGCCATAAAAAAGTAGGAGTCTTCAATATTATACTAAAAGTCTCAAACCCATAATATACTCAATAGTAAAAATAAACCCTTGCGCGACAAAATACGAATCGTGACGCAAAAGGTATTTGTGCAAAGAAATTTTAAAACTCATCACGCAAAGTATATAAAAAAATAAATAGAATAAAAACTTTGCTCGACGAAAGCTATATATTTCTTCTCATAGAGACAATGTATTTTTCTTTTTTATATTTTAAATTGTAAAAGGAAATTTTCTTTTATTTTATTTTGCGTGATGAAATTCCAATATTTCGTCGAACAAAGTCTATTTAGTTTCATTTTTATTTAATTTTACATTGTAAATTGTAAAAAAAAAGTATTTTCTTTATTTTTTTTTGTCCGACGAGGTTGATACATTGTCGCCCAAATAAATAAATTTATTTTTGTTAGTTTTAATTGTAAAAGAATTTTTTTTAACTTTGCGCAACGAAAGTGATGTTTCGTCACTCAAAGTAAATTTATTTTATTTTTTATTTTTAATTGGTAAATAATTTTTTTTTAACTCTACATCTCTAAATCCCAATTTTATCGCACAAGATTTGTTTAATTTTATATGTTTGATTGTAAAAGAAATTACTTTTTTTTTTAACTTTGGGCAACGAATCCAAATATTTGGTCGTGCAAAGTAAATTTACTTTCTTTTTTTATTTCATTTTATGTTTGAAATTGTAAACGAAAATTATTTTCTTCGATTTTTATTAATTATTTTATGAAAACTTTGCACAAAGTGTATTTATTTTATTTTATATTTTTAATTGTAAGAACACTTCCACCTGATTACGCATTTTGAGCGATAAGACCATGTTAATCTTGTACAAGGAGGATGGAAAATGCACTTAAATTGTATTTTAGAAAATTTTAAACGTTTATACTTTCGCCTACAAGTCTTTCAAACTTTAATACCCTTATAAAATAATTGAAAATATCTAGAATAGTTCAACTTCTTATAATTATATGCAAGCTTTTTTTTTTTATGTGTGTGGGACAATGATTTTTTGAGGTTGAAGTAAGCCCTGGTTTGGTACTGCTTAGATTTTTTTAAAGTTAAGATGAAAAAAAGTTGAGTTTAATATTGTGTTTGGTAACTCAGCTTATTTTCAAAGTTAATGTGAGAAACAGCTGAAAATGGGAAGCAGCTATTTGCTTATCACAGCAGCACAGGTGAACAGTAACCTTTAACGAAAATTTTCAAATGACGATCGTACCCTCACCCCTCACCCCTCGCGTCTCACTTCTCCTTTCTCTTGCATCTCACTTCTCTCCCTCCAGTCTTCCCTCATTCACTCCCAGCAGCCGCCAACCTGAAACTTCTTCCTTCCTCTCAACGATATCTCTCGTTCTCCAGGTCACGTTCTCCGGCTCAACATCCTTCATCTGGTAAGCTTTTCTTGTCTAAAATTTCTTTATTTATTTGTTTGGAATTTTTAAATTTAGGGATGGCAGAGTGAAAAAATTAATTGGGGAAAAATTAGGGTTAGAAATTAACTTGATTCTCGAGTGAATACCATGTAGGAGCAGTTTAGGATAGATTTAAAGGGGTCTCTCTGGGGTTCCGAGCTCCTAATTTTGGGGCACCACATATATACTTGTTCTTTTTAAATTTTGTTTTGAATTATGTTCAAGATTTGTTCTTTATTTTGATTGTTTGGGAATTGGTTTTAGATTCCGGAGCCCCTTACTGGGAAAGTTTGGAAATTGGAAGACTTTTAATCACATCCTACTTTACTGGTGAGTTCTTGCTTTGTGTTTTTCTTCAATGGTGTTTTGGATGGTTATTGTTTGTTTGATTTTCTTATTATCTATCATATTATATGTCATGTATTGGATATTGGCAATTAGTTAGAGTGGATTTTTAGATTAATTAACATGAATGATGGGTTCTTAAATAACAACTGCAACTGCAAATGACATGACAATTGCTATTTTAGTGGAAATCAGAGGACGTTAAAACGTAATGGTTGTTTATGTAATGTCGAATTGTTTAGAATAAGCTGCAGAGCTACCTGCAATTTGTTCATTGATTTAGTCAATGACCCTAACGAAATAAGGTAGGTTCCTTAGATTTATAAGGCCTATCGTCTGTCATAGGGCATAAGTTTCTAAGAGCTGCACAGCAAATTGGGCAGAGGGGAAGGAAAGGTTGCAGGTCTGCGTGATTACGATGACTCGTGCCAGCTTGATTCTGGTGGTGATGTCGATTTGCATGACCACAAGGCTTCAAAGTTGCTGCATTATAATTCTGCTTTTGAAATTTTATGCTTCAACTTTTATTGGGTTTAAGTGCGGGTTGATATATTTGAATTTTTAAGTTGGCTTCTGTAGAGATTAGAAGGTTTCTTAATTATCCAAAAAGGAAAATAAAGCATATAAGTGGCTGTGGATAGCTTACATCCATGTATCCTATGATCTGGGGTCTAACTAAACTATTGAGTCCCTGTAGAGTATTGTGCATTTGTACTGATGTTTAGCTTGTGTGTCATTCCCTCAATGGGCATCATTTTACCTTGTGTGTCATTTCCTCAGGGATAGATCCACAATGTTTATCCCTCAAATAAAACAATGTCACGTATATATTTGTGCGTGTGGGTACATAACAATGCCATGCCCTGCTTTATTTCTTATTAAATGAACATTTTATCTTATTAAGTTAGCCATGGCCCTTATAGACAATCCAGGATGGGAAGGCACTGCACATGATACAAGACTTTTTCTATCCGTACTACGGAATCCAAATTTAAACTTTTCGAAGTCTCCAAATGGTAATCTTTATACTTATTATAACATTTTACATACTTGCTTTGTATAATTATTACAATATAAAACAAAATTTTCAATTTTCAAGAAAATATTACTTGGTAGATGTGAGGGACTCACAAATGAGAGGTTATTTGGGACCATATAAAGGTGAAAGATATCATCTCCTGGATTTTCGTAGGGGTCTCGAACCAACGGGTCATAAAGAGGTATTCAACCACATGCATTCTTCTCTTAGGAGCGTCATTGAACGAACTTTTGGGGTATGGAAGAAAAGATGGGCAATTTTAAGGGATATGCCTAATACATGTTCAATAAACAAGTGAAGATTGTCATTGCTACAATGGCTCTTCATAACTACATATGGAGGTATTCTGAACGTGATCTTCATTTTGATAACCCTTGGGACTATTGTGAAGAGAGCGATATCAAGTTGAAGGATCACATGAGATAGAAGCATTAAGAAATAGAATAGCGGCAAGTTTGATGAATGCATCTAATTAGACTACTTTCAAGTACATTAACAATATTGTATTATTGAATCCTAGCTATTTAGTCTAAAATATTTCAATAGAAGTAGTTTTTCATACTAATTAATATTTAAGATAATATTTATAAATATTTTTCTTTTAAAAATAAAGTATATTTATTAATTCACCTTTATTTGTTAAGAAAATTAAATTAATGGCACATCCAGTATTATACCCTTTTTGGTCATTTCATACAGTTACATCTGTTTTACATAAAAGTTTACCAAATACTATAATATTACTTTTTCTCCAAAATCACTTTCACAAAAAATTTACCAAACATTCTGCTGCTTTATTTCACAACTGATTATTCTCACAGCACAGCAAAATCAATTTTTTTTCAAAGCACAACAATACCAAATCAGCCTTAAGTGGATCGGAATACAGCTACCTCAGAAGTCCATCATGGACTCAACAGCTCCGAGCAGAGCTGGATTAATGGAGCAATGGTGTCATCGGGCAACAGGTGAAGTCCAAGCGACCATGCTTGTTTCGCATGATACGGACATCTGATCTGGGTTAGAATTAGCCAAATCCTCTATATCTTGGAGTTCCTACAATCTAGGAATTAGCGGGCACTGCTGATGAGTAGATTTTATATTATATATTTTACTCTATTTTTAGTATATTTTGGTTAATATTTTGGAAGAATTTTTATACTTTGAATTGTATTTTCAATATAGGACTTTCGACTTTCTCTAGAGCAAAACAGAACCAAATGGACGAATTTTGGAGTAATTCCAATTGGATGACGTTCGTGAGTCACTTAACTTGATCGTATGAAAATTTAGGATTTTTCCACCAAGCGGTTATTTTCTAGAGATAAAATAAAGGAGCGATGCTCGGTGTTGGGAAATGATGTTTTTGGGCTTAAATTGCGTTTTTGGAGCCCAAGATGATCTCGGATGGTTTCGTGGCCTTCTGGAGAAGTGTTTAGAATATTCCAAACATTAAATCTAGCTATATTGGGCCAGTTTTGGAGCAGCTTATGGGTCCAAAACGTGGTTGTTCATATTTTAGGCAAATTTTATCATTTAATTTAGGGTTATGTTTCCTATTTTATTTTATTATTATTTTTAGTTTCCTAGTGGGAATAAAGGACCTGTTTTTAGGGTTTGGTTGGGGGGGGCTTAGCATATATATTGCTTTGATGTCTACCGTTTTTCTTTACGTTTTCTTTTATGCAATTTTGGAGACATAGAGAATTGCTAGGATTTTTGGAGCTTTTCTACTTGAAGGTGCTTTCAATCATTTTCTTAATAATATTTTCTCTGATTTTAATTGTAAATATGCGTAACTAATTTCTTTTGCTAGGGCGAAGCCTTGAGCCTTAGCATGAATATGTGATTTTTATTTAATTGTTTATGATTGATTGCATGCATACTTTGAATTATTAATCATCGGGATTAAAACTATCTAATTGTCTTAATGCCTGATCACCATTAGGATCTTTAGAAAAGTAATTTGATACAATTTTGGTCGGAATGTTCCTTGAAATTAACGCTGACTTCTTGTGATTAATAATTGTAATTTCACTTAAGATGAACATCACGTCTTAAGGGTTGCATGATTTTTCAAAGGGTTTTCATAAAGCATAATGAGTCTTTCATGTTTAGATTTGATCTGAACGTCCAGACGGGTTGCATGTTAGATATACGTTCTATGTTGGAGGTTCCAAGTAGAATATGAATTAGGAAAATCTAACCTTCAAAGTGGCATGTGTAGATCATAAGTAATTGGTAAAAGTTTATAGGATTGCTAGGTGATGGTGGAACTTTAGTGTTTTTTTAATTTGATTTCTCCCAAAACTGTTTTCTTTTCCCTCTAGTTTTAATATTGCAGATTGTCTTATTTTTATTAGTTAAATTTGTTTTATTAAATTAGTCCATAAAAATCACTCATCAAGTTATACTTTACAATCATTAATTGGAATTTGGTTTGTTTCTGTTTATACCATACTTAGGGCCTCTGTATTTAGATCTTGTATAAATACTCAGAGGACTCAAATGTAATTATGTAATAAAGGAATGGGCAAATATGTAATAAATGAGGAGTCCTTATTCTATAAAAGGACCTCTCACTCTCCTCATTCAGAGAGGCCAATTCTAAGGCCATACCCTTACCCTTTCAATCCTCTCACAAATAGAGAAATACAATATCAGTGTGGACGTAGCCCAAACATTGGGGTGAACCATGATATATATTATGTTATTTACATTTCTTGTAGATTCACGGTCGGATTTACGTTGTTCCAAGACTTCCGGTTTTGTGCATCAACATTTGGCGTCATCTGTGGGAATAGATACGAAAAGTTGTGTCGGTTCTCTTTCATTTTCTCACCTCTGCCATGAATATGCAGAAACCAAGAAACAAACACCTGCACAGTCACTGCAAAAAAAAAAAAAAAAAAAAAAAAAAAAAACAAGCTCTCTCTCTCACTCTCTCACTCTCTCTCATCACTCCCTTGCTTTTCACTCATTCGTTTGACTCATCTCTCTTCTCTGTCTGTGTGACTAGGGTTTCTCTCTCATTCGAAAACCCAGTTAGTCCACTATTCGAGCCAAGTTTTTGCACAATCCAACGACGACGTTGCAGCTCGATTCTGCCTTGTCGTAGGCTCCGACAGCCCACCAAGGGACCGTCCACCAAAGGACGATGACACTTACGAGCAGCACTCCAAGATGTGTTTTCTTGTCATAAGATTTCACTTTTCCTTTTCGAGGTGGAACAATACTATCTCTGTCGACGACAGCCCACCAAGGGATCGTCCACCAAGGGACGATGACACTTACGGGCAGAGCTCCAAGATGCGTTTTCTTGTCATAAGATTTCACTTTTCCTTTTCGAGGTGGAACAATACTATCTCCGTCGACATCCTGGCGTCTCACAGCCAAGTTTTTGCACAATCCAACGACGGCGTTGCAGCTCGATTCCCTTTCTGTTTCACCTCAAAAAAGTGTATTGAATCCTCGTCAACTTTCACAAATTCAATTCAAATTTTGACATTTAAATCTTGATTTGGTGAATGAGAGCGATGTGCTGAGCGATGGCGCTTAAGGCTCCAGCTCCGGAAGCTGTCGAGATTGCAATTGCATCCATTGGGCGTGGATACAATATGTCCACTGATTTACGGCTCAAGTACTGTAAAGGGGAGTCTCACACTGCTCGATTGATTGAAATCGATGACGATGGAGGTCGCGAGATTATTCTTCCCGGTGGGATTACCATCCCAAATGTTCCCAAATCGATTAAATGTGATAAAGGAGAGCGCACACGATTCAGGTCCGGCGTTCTCTCTTTCCAACAGAGACCGTGTCGACACGCATTCGGCCCCAATATCTGCCCAACATTCTGCTCCCATTCCTTCTCATGCTCCCGGCCTGTCTCCTAACCCAACAATGGGTGCTCATCCAGGTTATAGTCCCCCAGACCATTCAGCGCGCAACACCACCAGCAGCCTCTTAGACCGCACCGCCTCTCACTTCCCCGCCGTAGATCTCCTCCCCAAATCACGGAGCTCCGTCCAAGTCACCTGCCTGTGCCTGACGGCCCGTGAAAATAATCCGACCCGGTTCGTGAAATGACCTAAGGTGGTTCAGATTCAGAGGGAGAAGAGGATCCTGAAGCAGAGGTCAAAGGTTCCTCCAACGCGAGGAAGATCTGGCCTAAGGAATTCGCTGCACTGTTTTACAGTCTTCCAAGTTGATTAAGGGAATATTTGAGAGGTTCAACCGGGACAGAAGTGGGTTCATTGATGCAAATGAGTTGAGAGATGCACTGCTGAGTCTGCCAAAAGAGAAAAGTAAAAGCAATGACCAGGCTGCCAAAAGAGAAAAAAAACAGAAAACATGGCTACCCACTAATGCACAGCAGCCCAAGCTCCAAGTTGATTAAGGGAATCAACTTGGCACGATGACAGCACAGAAGATGCCCACCAACTTTCATCATGTTCCCATTCTTCACAGACGACACCATGATGTTAAAGAAAAAGAAAAAGGAGAAGGAAAAGAATAGAAAAAGGAAAAGACATAATTGTGGTGAGGATGGCAAGGGAATTATGGGCGTGACCCATTGAGCAGATGGTCGGATTTATTTTTTGAATGATGTAATTTACTTTTCTTATCTTTTGCAGACATCTGTATAAACTCCATTAGAGGGTAATACAAAATAAATAAATAAAACGGCAAACCCAAAATAATAGCCTGGAATGTATTGAGGAGCAAACCCTTATTCTATAAAAGGGACTCCCTTACCATCATTAGAGAGCATTGCCGCTTGCTGAGCAACCGTCTTGCCGCGAGCACCAACTCTAGCCCATCGTTTTTTGTATTGAGGAGTGAGCCCTTATTCTATAAAAATGACTCCCTCACCTTCAACGCTACAAGCCGAGCCAACCAAGGCAACATAAGTCACAAGTAGAGCAGCCTCGCAACATGTGCTACTTCTGGTTGAGCATCATTTCAGATTGGGCACCGCCTCATATCGAGTATTAGTTCTAAATGACATCTAGTTACTTTGGCCCAAACATGGACTGAATTTCAAGTCTCTAGCCAAAAGACTCTCTTGACTGAAGACTTGGGGGACTACTGTTTATACCATACTTAGGGCCTCCGTATTTAGATCTCGTATAAATACTCGGGGAACTTAAATGTAATTATGTAATAAAGGAATGGGCAAATATGTAATAAGTGAGGAGTCCTTATTTTATAAAGGACCCCTCATTCTCCTCATTCAGAAAGGCCAATTCTAAGGTCATACCCTCACCCTCTTCCTCTCAATCCTTTCACAAATAGAGAAATACAATATCAGTGTGGACGTAGCCCAAACATTGGGGTGAACCACGATACATCTTGTGTTATTTACTTTTCTTGCAGATTCATGGTTGGATTTACGTTGTTCCAAGACCTCCGGTTTTGTGCATCAACAGTTTTGAATTATTTAATAATCCATGTGGAGAACGACCTTGCGAAATCCATTTATACTACAACAACTTTGTAATTCTTGCAAGTATTATAGGAGTTTTTAGCCCGTTAACATGTGTA